AATGAATGTAAGATGTTGGAAGACAGGAAGAAATACGTGAGCAGAGCATATATGCTCCAAGCAACGGCTATATTGTGACAGCTCTAACTGGATCATCCTGTATCCATAATGGAACTGAAGTTCTGTAATCAAAGCCCCACTGAAGTGCAGATAATCAAACCAATTCACAGCCGCTTACCAAGAGTTCTGACATCGAAATGGCGTGCAAAACACACTGAAGCTGTTCTGCAGGCCTTGTTTTGTTGCCATCCGATATATTCTCAAATGGAACACTAACCCCCAGCAAGCAAGCTTCCTGGCTCTGTACCTGCGCAATTGTTCATTCCTCGGAATGGAACTCTGGTCGTGCACCATCAGCTCCATTCTAATGAACTGAGGTAGCGCAGCTGTCATGGTTGGTGGGTAGCTCCCCAAGGGGAACTTTTCTATATGCTGAAGAGACTTAATCTGAGGGGAGACTGCAGCAAAATTATGTTTGCTCAAAATCATGAATATCAACCCTTATTTGTTTTCTTTCTTGGTCCCAAGGTGGGAGTTTAGGTTCTCAGGATTCATGGCACATGCAGACACAGAAACTTACCGGCACTGACGGTGATAGCTTCGATGAACTGTTCTCGCCAGCTGTTTGTTCCAACCACAAGAGCGAGGTTTGTCTTCTTAATGAGCTTGTCCACAGTGTTCTGCAGATGGAGGGACAAAAGCACAGGAAAGCTGAGCACACTGTCAGTTCAGAGACTGGTTTAGGGACAGGAAGCGATGTTCTGGGAGGAGGTGGCTGGCTTCAGAACATTAAAGGCAATCTGAAAAGCAGCTGAATGAACACTTTTAAAATTATTTTTGGCTTTAAAAGATGAGAAAAGTTAATGCAGCAGAATTTTTGTGATCTTCCTATTCTCTCATCAGTAAATAATAGTAATTTTGTCACTGGGTGGAAATTGTTAACAGATTGCTTGTCGAGTATGTCCATTTAGAAGCCCTGGAATCTAGACTACACTAATCATCCTTATAAAATGTTCAAAGCACAGCACTCTGTTGACTCAGAAGTAGGTGCTCAGTCGTTGATAATGGATGCCTGGAGCTGAATTCTTCTTGTGTAAAATATTCCAAAATCTTGTTGTCAGGTTGTAAAAAGAGCGAGACATCAGTCACCATGATTCCCTATTTAAAGACATGGGATGGAGGCCAAAAGGGTCTGATTTGCTCAGGCCATTGAAAGGACCTGGTCTCCACTGGATTTTCACTTTGGAGTGGATATATTTTTTAAAAAACAATGAGAGGAAATCAGATACTACAGTGCTTGTGATATTTGGGTTTTATCTCAACCACAAATTTTAGGACAATTTCCCTTGCTGCCTTGACCTTTAACCCTGTGTCTCCCTGTTAACTTTGCCTCTGCCTGTCCAGTTCATCTCTTCCTTGGGTCAGGGATATGTCTTTTAGGTAATGTTTTTCTCTAAAACTGACATGTACACCCCTACCCATTAATGTAGCTGACTTGACTTAATTTAAATCACTAATTCAGTTTATTTAGGTACTATACAAACCAGGACCTTAGTACTCAAAGCCTTGGTACTTGAAGTGTTTCTCTGGGCAATGCGACATGTGATCCAGCCATCTTTATTTTAAGAGCAAAGCACCCATCCAGGTAGGTGGCAACTGTGAAATGTGCTTGGCAACTGAGAAATGTGCTTGGCTTTTGCTGTAAACATCTGCGCTTGAAAACCTGTTGGGTTCCCCCTACTGCCTGTGTAGTTGCTATGAGGTTACTGGTTGGGGTTGGGGAGAATGAGTGTGATTTCTGAAAGATGCTCTCAGGAGGAACACTAATAGTGACATTTTGCTTTCCCAGAAAGTAGAAGAAGAAGAGATTGGATTAATACCCCGCCCTTCACTACCCAAAAGAGTCTCAGAGTGGCTTACAAACTCCTTTCCCCTCCCCTCCCCACAACAGACACCCTGTGAAGTAGGTGGGACTGAGAGAGCACTGACAGAAACTGCTCTTTTTCAAGAACAGCTGTGCCGGAACTACGGCTTGGCCAAGGTCATCCAGCAGGTGCAAGTGGAGGAGTGGGGAATCAAACCTGCTTCTCCCAGATTAGAGTCTGCCCACTTAACCACTACACCAAAGATAGAAAGGCAGTAAAGTCAATATGAAATATATATGGAGACTGAGTTTATAAGTGAAGCTGTGAGTGATTTACTCAACACAACTGTATGGGGCTGTTAATTTGATTAATAAGTTTCTAGTCTTTACACTTGTGAAGATATACTTGAAAATAGAATGCCTAGTGAAACCTCAAATGCTAGAGGGCATCTGAATAAAATTTACCATGGTATGTGTGTGTAATGTGGTGATGGTAAAGTGTTCAAACAATAAATACAAACAGGGAAAAACTGCAAACACATTAATTTGCAGGCTAAATTAGGAAAACCAAATGATGCAGATTTGTACAATTTTTGCACATTTCATAATCAACCTTTTTTAGATGGAAAATCCTGGTTTTACTTTATTTTAGTAACACACAGAACACACAGTCCTATTCTTGGGCTACCTGTTCTTGCACTGAGTTCATTCAGTAATTTTTTTGGTTTAGGCCCATGGTGGCCCCAGGCTGTACCTTGAACTCATAGGACTCTTCAATAATCACTTCTAGCTTTGTATGCTCCCCCAGAATTGGGCGTCCCATTTCTGCGATGCGACGCTCCTCCTCCTCCTTGCTCGTCAGTGGCTGCTTCTCGTCATTCTCTTCTGCAAAAGAAGCACAGAAGACTTTGAGCCAAGCTCCCCCATTTCTGCTGCCTGCTTTTCTCAAAGGAAGCTGCGGGTTTACTGTTTGGATCCAAATATGTCCTGTTGCAATGGCAAAAAGGCAGGCAGACTGTAACAGAAGGAGGAGGCCATGAACTCAGAGGCATGCACCAGCATAGTGAAAGTTGCCACTGCAGGTGGGTTGCCTGCAAGCATTAGCAAACCAAATCGCTGGCTCATAATGCCGCTGCACTTCAAGGGATTCCTTCCCATCCCCACTCTAGTCTCGTTAGCTCTAAGCTGTGCTATGGCTATGCTATGGCATGTCTGCCACTACAGCGGAACTCTATGAAATGGAGAGACAGTTACTTAGTCTGGGACTTCCAACGTAGGTTTGCCATGGACCCAGGGACTATTCATGTTATGGTTTTGTAGCTGTGCGCCTATGATTTTTTCTCCTCAAGTATACATCTAAGAATGAACCAAATATTTGAAAACAAGTGTAATGACTGGTGATAGCTCTCTGCTGAGTGTGTACTCAGTTTGGTTGTTATGTAATATGTGAAATGGCCCTCAACAGAGAACTGCAGGCAATCCACACCTGTTTGGAAAGTATATCTGTATGAGACACATGTCTGCAAGGCCATTTTACATTCAGGGCCAAGTTACTCAAGCGGAGGCAGAGCTGTACGTCCCAGCCACATGGAGCTGCCCCAACCACATGGCAAGAGCGCACGTGTATTGAAGTCTGATCCAAATGACAAAAAGGTCTTGTACAAGAGGCACCAACCTCTCCACCAGGTTGTCATTTGTTTCCCCGCAGTCTGTCACTCAGGTGCTTTTTTCCTCACCTGAGCTCTAACACTAGAAGTGACCTCAGGTGGAAGGAATGCTCTTGGGAAGGGGAACTGCTGGAAGGGATGTGTCAGGCATGGATAGGGTCTGGCTGCTTGGCCACCTACCCCCTTCAGACTCCTCCCATTTTGCTGAAAATCTCAAGAAAGCAGAATAGCCCTATTTATTAAAACAGGAGGACCATAGAAAACAGCAATTTGGGAACCACTGATTGTGTGGGTTTTGTAGAAGACACAAAGAAACAGCTCCAGGATGAGCCAGGGGTGTGACCTGTGTGAGTGGTTTCCTGTACTATGTTTTGCAACGACATTACAGGTAACTGAATGCAAAATATGGTATGAAGGGTAGGAAGGTCCATATTCTTTCCTAGTTGCCAGCCCCAAATATATTAAAGGACTACATGCCAAAAGTTTACACACATGTGCCCATCACACTTGATAAAACACCAACATATTCAGTCTATTCCTTGTAACTCACCAGTGACTCCATATTAGAGTCTAAATGTGCACTTACTAAAGGTTACTGAGAAGCATACTGTGGCTCATCTTACGTTTTCTCCCTTCACCTGTCAGTTTTGCATGGCTGTTTTGACAACTGATGACTTCTATTGTCAGCCTGGTATGCAGGTTATGCCAATTAAGATCTTTTTTGTCATCAGTTTTGTGAAGATGTTTTGTTAATTGATATTCTTTATCACAGATGTTTCTTTTATTGTTACCTTCAAGATTACTAATATGAATTCACTGCCTGCAAAGATTCTCTACGATTTGTGGGAGTGATAATTTGAATGTGTGTGGGTTGATGACTTGACAATCTTAGTAATTGCCCTAACTTAGAAGCCTTTCACACATTATGTGGAGGCAAGCCTGGGCCATATGGAGAAACTGGGCTCAAACAGATGAGACAAAGATCACACAATTTGGTGTAACATGCAAATTACAGCCATGTGCAGCCTCAGTTTGCCTCAGGGTAGTGCAGGAAAGAGATGGGGGGAGGAGTTAGTCCTTCAGTCCCAACTCAGTTTCACTATTCAGAATAGCAAAACCAAGAGGAGCTTGAAGAATCAATCCCCTCCATCCTGTTATAGAACAAAGATGAAGCAAATGGAGACTGTGAGAATCTGTGATTTACATTTCATAGGCAGACCAAGAGTCATGATCTTCCTCTTACCTGTTTGACCACTAACTTTAACCGTGTGTTAAGTTGGTTGTTGGCTCCAGAAATGTGGTAACCGGAGTCCTAACTCAATGCCAGAAGCCTGGTTCCATACATGGTTACCCAAGATATTTTTTCTAAGCAGCAACCACTGGGGAGTCTATTTTCACCCTATAACTCAGAGCTTGTTTATTTTACTGCAAGATATTCCAACAAGGACTTTTCAATACCCCAGTGTCTTCAAACAGCTTTAATTGCCAGCTCTAAATTTGAAAATATATCAACTTTGGTTTATACCTGACCAAATGCAAAAAAAGTGAATTCACAGAAAGAATCTTTGCTGCTTGCCCTTCCCAGCTCACCGCTTCCCCCAGGAGAGTGCACAATATGGTGCAGGGGGTTACAGCAACAGGGGGAACTGGCGAGAGTTGCGCCTCCACCCTCTTGCACCAGCTCTTGCACAAACGGAAGAAGAGTTCACACATCATAGGGAGTGGTGATGATCTGTGCCAATCCCCCTTTCCCACTGCAGCCTCTCAGGATATATGCCATGCCGTTTCTGAGGATCCCCCCTGATCCTCTGGAGAAGCTTTTTCAGGCAGGACACAGAGAGAAAGGACAACAATGCTTTTTGTGAACTCACTCAATTTGTGGTTTATCACATCCAAATGTATGTTTTGAGCTGGAGGAGAATACTCTCAACTACAGCTGTAAGGAACGGCCTTTTACATTTTGTAGATCTGTATTCTTCTGGAATAAGGAACTCTTTAAAAATGATTTCCCCCTTTTAAAAAAAGGCACATCTGGCAACACTATTCATGTCTGAAGCTGCATAGCTCCTCTTGCTAGAAAGGGATTTAATTCTTTGCTCTTTGCCAGCCCCTTGAATTTTCTTTTCCTTCCATCCTCTCATTTCCCTTTTGTTTTTTGGAAGAGAAGGGAATTTGGAAGTTGCTAATGCTACTTGATTGGTGTGTAAAAACAATGGGAAGTAATTTGTTAATTTGAATGCTGCCCAAGACAATGATGATGGAGGGGAGGGTGGGCGGAAACAACATGATTTTTGTTTTGCTGGAAGTGTATGTGCCAGATGCCTGAGATGGAGAGATGCAAGTGAGGTTAAGTAGTGGCAGCTGCCATTACCAAGAGGTGACTCTGGGTGGCTGCACAGGGCAGTGGTTTGCAGAGGAGCTGCATTGCTAAATACAACAGCAAAAAACAAGGGGCAGCAGTATGACAATATCAGTATACAAAAGAATTACTGCAACAGTGCAAAGATGAAAACCTCACAGATGTTGTACATAATATATAATCACTTCACGGTGTTTATTCTTTTCACAGAGGGACGTCAACAGACAGTCACTGAAGAAGGACGAACTTCCCCAGAGGTAATAGTTCGTTTCGAACTCTCTTTATCGAACAACAGTCTCAGTTCTGAATCCAAACATCACGAGACCTTTTCATAATAAACTCTTTCCAGTTCAATGCATAATTTCAAAAACTTCACAGCAGAATGAATAAACCAGAATGAATCTGCCCGGTTCATTCTGCTGTGAAGTGTTTGAAATCATGCATTGAACTGGAAAGAGTTTATTATGAAAAGGTCTCGTGATGTTTGGATTCAGAACTGAGACCGTTGTTTGATAAAGAGAGTTCGAAACGAACGATTAGCTCTGGGGAAGTTCGTCCTTCTTCAATGACTGTCTGTTGACGTCCCTCTGTGAAAAGAATAAACACCGTGAAGTGATTATATATTATGTACAACATCTGTGAGGTTTTCATCTTTGCACTGTTGCAGTAATTCTTTTGTATACTGATATTGCTAAATACAATGGCAAAGTCAAAGGAGATAACTTTCCCCAGAGCCACCATGAGAACTTGTGTATACAGTTCAGGAGTGACAAAGGGATGGAGGAGCTGATTTATAGGTAGGCAAAAGGAGATTAAGAAATGTGTAAGGAATCTCAGGGGCAAAGGAAGAAGGAGAGAAAGAGCAGGTCCGGAGGACAAGGCATAGCTTGTCCAGGGAGGTGCAGAAAGAAATGGCTGAACCAAAGCATACGCTATGAGTGAATGTAAAAACACAACAGTCACTCTGAGCCCTTGTGAAAAGGGTCAAGGAGGATGATTAAAGATAGGTCACCAGGCTTTGTAGCTGCACAGTCTTATATATGCAGTCTGTGAGGGGAGCATTTTAATATTTCATATCATGCCAAAGTGGTTAAGGCAGAGCAGAAGATGATGTGACACCAGGGGAAAGGCAGTGCCTAATGGGAGCTTGAGATGAAGGGTCTGGATTTTGCCTCGGGAGAACAGTATAATTAGAAGTAAAGAAATCTTGGGATTACAGCAGAGACTGCTTGCCGGTTTTTGATGAAAGGTCCTTGCTTGCACTTACAAGGGCTCAGAACAGGTCTGTGCAGTGTGTGACTCACTGAACACAACCCACTGGCCATGTATTGTAGCCTGCGACACATTTGACAATCAGGTAGGGCTGCCAGGTGCCTTCTGGCGGGGTAGGGTGGTGGTGGGGGCAGTAGGGTTGCCAGCTCCAGGTTGGGAGACTCTTGGAATTTGAGGTTGGGGCCTGGGGAGGACAGGGCCCTCAGTGGGGGTGCAATGCCATAGAGTCCACCCTCCAGAGCATCCATTTTCTCCAGGGGAACTGATCTCTGTAGATGAGCTGTGTTTCCAGGGGATCCCCAGGTCCCACCTGGAGGCTGGCATCCCTGCATCCAGGCAGGCTGTAAATACATGGCCATGGAGTCCCTGGTGGGCCATCATAAATGGCTGGTGGACTCATTTACCTTGGCTGGATTCAAATTGGGTAATCCCAGCCTATGGTCATTGGAGAAACAAACAAATGTCACAAATCTGGTTTCTTGTTGTGTTTGTATGTTTCCTTCTCCCTCATATGTGCAGCATGAATGAATGCAGGTTTTCAGAAATTTTCAATCTAACTCCAATTTGTTTTGATAGCCTAAATTTCCAGGCATCTGCACAAATCACAGGTTGACAGAGGATTTATGAAAACCTGGAAGTGTTTGCATGTGCTCCACAATGGGAAGTGGGAATGCATGAGCACGACAAAAAGCCAGATTCATGACCTCTGTTTCTGTTGCACACCAAGTAAGGAAGGAGAGAGAAAGCTCACAACCACATCAACAAGCTAGGTTCATGCTTGTCACTAACAAACCTCCGTTTATTTATCCTTTCTTGGTTTCTGTTATGACTGCTAAAGGCAGAATTTCTCATGGCAGTAGGAACTGTGAGCCAAGCCTTATCTCTCTTAGGTCCAAATGTTGATGTTAATGGTGATTTCCAGCAACAAAGGAATGAAAAATTATAGATGTCACTCAACCCGGTAGGTGTAGGGGAGCAGGAACTTCACACAGTAAGGGTATGGGTGCTATTGAAGGGTAGCAATTTGCTAGTTATCACATCTTTCCCCCCCCAAACACACTCCCCCCAGCAGATGTGTATGACTATGTATGAGTGCACAAGCACACACAACAAAACTATTGGTTACACATTATCTGTTGCACTGGGATCCTAACAAATCAGGATACCTTGAATGTTGATTACGGTAGAAGGAAAAGGATGGTCTCTAGCATGAACCTTCCTGAAGACAGGCTGGCCTAACAAAATTATTGGCAAAAAAGTAAAAGTCAGTGGATGGAACTGGATAAAGTTTGCTTGGGTAGTGAATTTCCTGGTTGGTGTAGTTAAGGCCTATTAGAAGTGAGGACTCTGCATGGCTAGTGAATTATAAAGACAATTTCATGCATGGTTATTGGTGTTTTAAATGCTCACAGCAGGCCCTCTAACCACTATTCACTTGTTGCATTTACAAGAATAAACGGAGCCATGGATGAGGAACCAGTGATTTCAAGTGATCCAGAATATTGGATACTGTTCACCTCTTAATGAAAATCTGTTTCCTGCGGCCTTTTTGCAATTTTGTTCAGGATAAAATTTAAGTGAAAAAATGATTGCAGTGGCTAGAAAACTGTATATTTTAATTCAGTTTTTGTAATTCCTTTTCTAAAAAAGCAGTCCCAACCTTCTGCTGGATCCCTTAGAGGCATGGCTATACTGCACACATTTCTCAGACCAATTAACAAGAGTGATCAGAAATACATAAGATATCCAAAAAGTGTAAACTGTTCATTTGACCCCACAGTATTCCCAGTTAACAATGATGGAGAAGCATGAAATAAGCAGCAAATCTGCTAAGTCTTTAGTGAGTGTGTCTGGCAAGGCCTACAAAAAGAGAAGATGAAAGAAGCACAGAAGGTCTGCCTGAGAAGGCTACGATACAGCAGGTTTTTGTATCCATTGCCAAAAGTAAAAATAAGTTGAGAGAAAAAGGAGAGGCTTCAACTAAGAGTACAAATTCCAGTGTTGTAGCTGGGCAACAACTAAAGAAAATTCCTGTGTTAGCATGAAGACTAACATATTGTATGAGGGCCACCACTACCATTAGGCAAACTGAGGCATGTGCCTGAGGTGGAGCATTGAGAGGGGTGGAACCTGCCTTCCTACCTGTTGCTGTCTTGGCCTCTGTCCAGGACCCAGCCCTCTTTAATAACAATGTGGCAACCAAGCATGCATGCCCTATCGGGCTTCCTGAACTTCCAAGAGATTACTTGTTCTTATAAGAGTTTGGCTATCAGCTTTGTTACCAAAGCCACCACAGTGTTCAGCAGAGTTGGAGAAACCAAAATGACAGAAAACTCCTGTGCATGTGATGAAGGTGTGGGAAGTCCTACAGAGCATGTGTGCATTGCCACACTGTTATTAAAGATTTCTGAGAGGACAGAGGGCAAGAAAGATTAGTGGCTGTGCCTTCTGGGTGGAGGCAGAAGAGGCAGTGAGGTGCTTCATTACGAAAATGAGGATGGTAATACTTACAGGTTTTAAGCAAAAGGTGCCTGTCTTGACTCTAGAAAGGCATTTTTCTTCCTGGTCCCAAGAGAAAGACCCAGGTTCAAACCCTCACTCTGCCTATTCTTTTGCTTCTAAGAGCAGGTTCTCCCTGTAATGTATTCATAGCTGCCATGAGTACAGGAGGTTTTATGTGAATCATCACATAGGGAAGCAATGTTAAGCTTCGTCTTGGACAGAGCATTCTAGTCCAAGACTCACGACCCAATCACATTCAAGCAAGCTGCAAGTGGGAACGTTTGTGATTGGTCCTTATGCGCTCAACCTGATAGGTTGTTACGTGTATAGTGGGAGTGGCTATGTTAGCCGGGAATGTTTAAATACCGGGCAGTTTCAATGGGCAAACTGTTCGGGCTATCAGATGTTGTACCGTGTCGAAGAAGTGAACAAAGAGCTGAATAAACTTGAGTCTTTGCTGAAATCACTCTCCGACTCATTGTTAAGCGCCGGACTTAACACTCCCATCACTTGAGTACCAACCCATGCCACCTACATTGCAATTTTTCTCAGCAAAAGAAGTAGAAACAGCAACCTGGAAGGCATTGGACCATTGTTTTTGTGTATTTTGCCAAGGGAATTTGCGGTTTGAAAAACGTGCGTGCCATTCTCGGCTGATGTGAGCTGAGCATATTTTGTACTCAAAATATATATAATGAGGAGATGTGGTGGTCTTAGTGTAAACTTGGAAACTCGTTCAAATCTCATTTCAGCCACAATCTTACTACGGGGGTCTTAAGCAAGCCCCTGACTTTCAGTTTCAGCCACACAATTGTCAAACAGAGATAATACTATTGACCTGCTTCATAGGGCTGATACAAAGATTACTGAGGTAACACATGTGAAGTGATTTGACTACTCCAAAAAGTGATATATGAGTGTTGGATTAAATGAAATTCTAATGCTGAGGAGCCCTTGATGGTTGGTGGACAGTGCCTTCAAGTCGCAGCCGATTTACGGTGACCACATAGGATTTTCAAGGTAAAAGATGTTCAGAGGTGGTTCACCACTGCCTGCCTCTGCATTGTGACTTTCTTGGGCCGACCCTTAGAAGAGTGTATTGCCCCCACTCCACAAAATCTTTGGAATCTTTGAATGTCTGTACTGCCATGACATGTACCCTGTCTATATGGCAAAGGGGAAAATGCAAAAATGGCTACCTCCCCTCGCAAACAGCTATGCTGCCCTACCCATTCTCCTTGTCCTTGGCAGTAGGCACAGATATTTAAAAGGCTGCGCAAGAAACTGCTCCTGCTGGTTGCTGCTCTCTTGAGCCCAATATGACAGAAGCTAATGTGTTTGGGAGGAAGAGGTCTGGGAAGGAGTGGGAGGCCAACATTCCCTTAAGTTTGCAGATGACTTGCTGCCTAAACTCTCAAAGCAAAGTCCCCCACTATAGCTTTCCTGCAGCTCCAGACTCCTGGGCCAGTTCCCCCACATAAGGCTGTGCTTGCTCAAGTTTGTGTTGCCCATTTCTCTTCTTGTCACAAACAACAGCCAGTAAGTACCTGTGACATCTGCGAAGCCACACCCTGCACAGAAATTGCAGACATGGGATAAAGGCAGTGAGACGAGAACTGCCTTTTTCCAGGGGGTGGGGGGGAAGAGCTGTTGTTTTCAACTGCATTGAGAAAATGTGGCAGCCCCATCAAAGCGACATCCTTGGCAGAAGATGAGTCGACTGTGTGCTGCAAACAAGAAGTGCACTTATTGTGCAGAAATCTTGATTCTGGGAAAAAAACTAAACTGGGACTTGTGATACGGTCACTTACTAATAAAACTGCTGGCATTTCCGATCTGATTGCTATTAAGATTTTATCAGAACATTTATCAGGCGAAATGAGTTGCCCTCAAGTACTGCTGAGAGAATAGAGGAATTATGAATGTCCTTTGCAAAGACTGCCTGTGTGAAATGTGGCACCTTTCAAGCAAGGAGTCTTGTGGCACCTTAAAGACTATAAAACTTTTCTTCCAGCATCAGCATTTGTGCCCTGCCTCCAAGGAGCTCAAGATGGCACACACAACCGGACCCAACCACAACATCATAACAAAACCTCTGTGAGAGAGGTTATGATGAAAGACGGTGACTAGCTCAAGGTTATCCAGTGAGCTTCAAGGCTGAATAGGGATTTGAATACAGGTATTTCCAGTACAAATCCAGGTATTTTCATTATTCTCTATCCACTATATCACCCTAGCTCTCCAGTGCTCAATGACTGTTTTGCTGTTACTAAGTTAGGTTGATCCTCTGGGAGCTGTGATAGATGTTTGGGGCATGATGGTGACAACTACTTACAGGAGTTCCTGTATTTTGTTCCAATGATAAAATGCATAACAAAGCTAGAGGCTTTCAAGAAACACCTTGAAAAGTTCAGCAGCCAAAGGAATGAGTTTGAACTATGATAGCTCTGATTACTATGCCAAAGGCCATGTGACCAGCAGCATGCTTGCAGAAGGTAAAAGAAACTCACAACCCCATCATCCTTGGATCTTTCAAGGTCGGTATTACGTCTTTCAAACATTTCCAGTGAATCATTGTGATTTTCTGAGTATTAACTCCTTATCTGGACACATGTGATGTTAAGTGGGTGACAAAGACACATTGCACCCTGTCATTACACTCGGTGTACACACTAGTTGCTTAGTATGTGGGGTTTAGTGTAAAACGTAATGTGCATTAAAATCAAGATGTCTTACCATTCAAAAGCTTCCCTTCATTTTAACAGTGAAAACAAGAAGAAGCCAAGATGTCAGCAAATGGATCACACAAGTACCATCTATTGCAGATATAGTTCAATCCAATGGGCTTTTTGGTGGTGAATATTTTATAGCATAACAATGACAACAGCTCTGATTTTGATCTACAGTAGTTGCTTTTCAAACTTTTTAGCCTGGGTCTTCTTCTTTGGGGCTGGCCCAAGACATGGAGGGGTGTCGTTCAGGTTCAGGCTGGCCCAAGAGGTGTCCTTCAGGTTCCATTGCAATAGTGAGTACAGTTTGTTTAGGTATAAGCTTTGGTTTTCATGCTACTTCCCTGAGTCCCTAAAAATGCTACCTCTTCAAGCAGTTAGCAGTGTGTTCTTTCCACTGCTTCTTTTCAAGTTCCAACACAGTCCTGCCACTGCCTACACATCCTTCCCTCTACAGAAAATTCTGCCTTAAGATCAAGCGACTGTTTATTAAAAATTATTTAAAACCTTTTTAAATAATTAGAAGGGCACTGTCTCTAAGGTGAGTGCAAGAACATTATCTGATGGAATGTGTCTTGTGGCCTTTTAGTTCAATGGTTCTGCTTTGTTTTATGGCCCAGAATGTGAAAAGAATTTCCATATGTTCACATGTAATAGGGGAAGGAGAAGCCTTCCATTGGCTAGAGTGGGAGGATCCCCAAACAACAGGAACTGGTTTGGGGACAGTTTTGAAAGTCTAGGTATCTCTGTACTCAGATTCATACATAATCTCTATACTATATTGCCATATAATTCAGTTAAATATTAGTGTAGTTGAGAGCCCTAACAGTCACAAAATGATTAAGGAAAACTGACTGTTCACTACAGTTTTACCATCCCTGAGCTACTTCAGTGAGGTCACTTACTGAGTCATGGTTAGCACCCAGTAACAGTAGTGAAATATGGGTGGCATATACAATTGGTGATTCTGTTGAATTTAGGCAGATCATGAGAAGGGAGGGCAGGAAGGGTTGCCTCAGTGCTTAGTTCTCACGGCCCTTTCTTACATGCCCAGGGAAATGCTGATTGCCACTTTGGGGACTCGAAGCAATTTTCTCCAGGCCATTTTGGCCAGGGATCCTGGATCCCTGGGTTTTCTTTTTGTCATCTTCTGGGCACAGAGCAGGGGTCACTGGGGTGTGTGTGGGGGGAGGTATTTGTGAATTTCCTGCATTGTGCAGGGGGTTGGGCTAGATGACCCTGGAGGTCCCTTCCGACTGCATGATTCTATGTGGTCTTTATAGAAGGAGGTTCATATCTGTTTCTAAGCAGAAAAAGAAGCATGAATTACATACCTTTTGCTGACAGAGAGAGTCAGCTTGCACTGAATGAAAATGTATGGATATGGGATCCTAAGCGAGTAATGCCCCCGAACCACAATTAAGTATGTTCAGTCTGAAACTGTGTTTTGCATGCCTCAGTGGCATGTATACTACCTTAGACTGGAGAAACTAATGTTAATTAGCTCTTCCATTGGAGAAAGAGCCATATCAAGTGGAGGAAGTTTCCTGAGGCTGGAGGAAGACTTCAAACTTTTCTTATCAAAGTGGGCAGATAAATGCCAATATCTATGTTGCAGATTCCCATCTGCCTATAGGCATGTAGGTTTGTTCTCTGCTTGCCTACCTCTCTGTAATGTTACCATGTAGCTTGAAGTCTAGGAGGCTTTGGATAGGGGTTCTGTGCCCCATTTAGAAAGACTAACAATGTTACCAACAGATTCAATGTTTAAACTTTCTTTCCTGGTCTTAAATGAATGTTGAATGATGATGCTAGTATTGTGCAGTGAATTCACCTTAATATAAACTTTTAAAAAAGAGAGCAAGATCCTAATCTTTAAAACTGAATGTATACATGTGGAACAGAGCAAAAAGATAATTCATACCTGTGATTGTGAAGCCACCTAAAGGAATTGCAAAACAAAGGGAGAGAGAGAAAGAGAGAACTAATTAACATCTGCTTTACTGTACTGCAATGACATTTCTTACATTGAAACTTCTTTCCTGAAGCTGAATTATCTAGTTCCTTAGAGAAATATATGCCCAAATGGCAAAAATACCAGTTTGTGTGTGTGTGAAAATATATTTATTATCCAAATTTTCTGCTCATTAATATTTTATGAAAGTCTATAGTTTATATTGAATGCAGCATGCCTGTATGCCTTGTAATTTTTAGTATTGCAATATATGTTATGTCACATTACTATGCTGTGGTATTCCCCATCCCATCCTCCATTTCATTGGCTGTTGCTTATGGAGATGGGGAAATTGCAATATGTTGGGTGTCAAATCACCTACCCATTTTGCTACATTTAACAAGGAAGAGGATGAGTAGACAAAGGTCTCCAGCTGTTGGAGACCTCCATATATCACCCTAAAGTCTAGTTCTGGCCTAGGAATCAGAAACCTTAGGAACGCATTATCCCATAAGGAAACTGCTAGTTTTCTTCTTAAAGCTTAGTTGTTCTAAAAATTTGGGGTAATTCAGTGGTTGAGCATCTGCTTTGTATATGCAACATCCCGCATCACTTACAGGATCTCAGGCTGCAAAGGTGGGAAACACCTTGGGGAACTGCTGCTGGTCAATATGGACAGCTCCGGGATAGAAGAATCAACAGCCTGGCTCAGTACAATGTTGCTTAATTTGTTCATTGCCAAATACCCATTCTGTCACTAAAAAGAAAAAGAAAACAGCCTGCCCATGTCAGCCTCTTGTGTACAGAAACAGACAAAAACATTTAGTATGTATCTGTTACACAGTCTATTCCCCCTCCCCCCCAGCGCTATCATAGATTTCCTCACACTTTGTTGTCATGGTGCCCATTCAATAGAATGGAGCAACTGATTTCAGGAGCTGATGTCTGAACTGTTTTCCCCAGGACTTTTGTTCTATTATATTAAGGCTAAGTGATCTGATTCCAATAACTTCCAAAACAGGTTAATATCTGACACCATATCGGATCCCCATGATTGCAATAAGAGTATGCAGTGAAAGGTACAACTCTTATGTATTTATTTACTGACAGGTTCTAGGTATCCAAATGACTTTAAAAGGTTTTTGCTTTGGGCATCCCAGGCAGATGCACAGGCTATTCTGGATGAGGGGAATTTAAAATGGGAAACTGGTGTGTGTGTGTAGGATGAGACAGTGCTCAGTGTTCTCCCTGCTTATCGTTTATCTTTGTACCAAACCACCCTGTTTGTTGTATTTCCCATGCAATGGGATCCCAGTTGCGCATTTATCCTGGCAATCAGATTGCAACCTAATTTCTAATTGAGCTACTTATGTAGTGAGCCTGATCCAGAAATCCAGAAATGATTCAGAATGATCCTTCTTCAACTGCTGTACGAAACACAGTTTTACTACCATGCAAGATTATGTGTTCAAAGGGGAATAATAATCTATAAACTATTTTATGCTTCAAAGCAGATTTTTTTTAAAAAATAATATATTTATGCTTTCTTAATGTATCAATTTGGGTGAGATTTTAATCTTGGACTGACTAAACCATAGTGGCTTCCATCCAAAAGCCCTTGGGATAGGCTGGATGCCAAAGAATTTAAAGAAGATATTTCATATTTTCCCTGCAGAACTTGGCATGTTGATTTCAAATGAGAAGTGCACTAAACCCTAGGAACCATTTCTAAACCAGAAGATATGAAGAATTAAATTAAGTATAAACTTGACATCAGTTATCTTTAAGTCATAGTCTCAAAATATCTAAGAAAAAAAATGAAATAAAACAGCAAATTAAGTAACTTATACAAAATGCATAGATTGATTGGAAAAAAATGGAAAAGAGATACAAGAAATGCAGTGCTTACCAAGCTCATTCAACAACAGGGCTGTGGAGAAGACACAGAGGGACAAACACAGAAGAAGAAAACACAATGAGCAATGAAAATAAAGGGAACATCGACAGAAAGGCTCCAGATCCAGGAGACTAGAAAATGTAGATCTGTAAAGCTGTAGGATACCACTACTACAAAGAGAGAGCATGAAAAATAATGGAAAAAAGAGACATGCTTTATGGGGATGGCCTGTAAAATTCTAGAAAAACAAATTAAATACATTGTGTTATGTATATAGAAAAGAGCAAAAGTCCAGTGGCACCTTAAAGACTAACAGAAATTGTGGCAGGGTATGTGCTTTCATGAGTCACGAAAGCTCATCCCCTGCCACAAATTTTGTTAGTCTTTAAGGTGCTACTGGACTCTTGATCTTTTCTGCTGATACAGACAGACTAACATGGCTACCAATGTTGTTTTATATATATATATATATAGTGCAAGAGGAATGCTTAGAAATCCATTTCCCATCCCCCAATTTTCCTTTGACCCTGGATCCATGTCTTACTTCTGCATCGATGGCAGTTCTGCTGGAGATTGAGGAAAGAATATGTCCCACTCCCATTAGATGTCAGTGAGAATTTGCTTCATTTTTTGGGGGTGGGGGGAGAACGTCTGCATATAACATTATGACACACTAATAGTTTCTGTATGTGTCTTTCCCACATGCTTTTATGAATCAAGGCAAGGGGTTGCATGGAGAGTATAATATATGTATCAGGGCTTCCAAGATTTCCTTCCAACTTTGGCCAGCTGTTTTACCAGATAAACTGCTACTAGATTTTGGAGTAACTGGGGATATGATCGCTGACATACCACAAGGAGCTGAGCAAGGGGAAAAATTGGAAGACCTGAACCTACATACAGGGGAACTTCTACTGGAATACCAGCTGCACAGGTATAACATAGTGGCTAAGAGAACAAGTGGTACTATAGGAAGTCCATAGTTCAAATCCTGCCTTTGCCTGAAGTGGCCTTTGGCAAAGCACTCTCTCTCTCAGCCTTGCTCCCTGACCTGCCTTATAGGGCTGCTGGAAACATTTCAACCAGGCAACAAGTGTGAAGCACTTTTAACACACAAACTATTACATAAATATCAAGTATTATTATATGTAAACTTATATGGTAACCAGGCTAGAGTTACCAGAGGGAACTCTGTTAGTCCTGTAACTCAGCTATCATGAAGGATGGAAACAACTAAACCAGCATAAAAGAGCTTAAGTAGTCTTTAAGGAAATACAGGAGAGTTTGACTAATTAATGCATTCTAACACAAACTTTTCCAGGCAACAGCCAATTTCCTTTGCTACATTAAAGTGCCCTGAGTTTAATTAATTTGTGCTGGTTTAACTGTCATGGTTTCCCATCCCTCCCAAAGACTCCTGGATAGTATTTCTAGGGATCTCTGAACTTATTTTCGGCGTCCTCACACACACACACAAAAGAATTCCAGAGTTTCCTTGAGGAAGTCATTATTTTAAAACAAATTTAATTTTATAGTGAGGGTGTGGCCTGAAATAAAAGAAGCATAAGCATTCTAAGTGACTACCCTCACTTTTCTCCTGTGCTCATTGGCAAACTGTCCAGAGAATATGGGAGGAAATAATATGCTCTAATGTTCCTGAATCAATCCCTAGAGAACAATATGCTCTAAACCTAAACAAATAAACAGAACCCAGATTGCTCTATTGACTCCCAACACTTAACATCAAATAAAGGGCTCCTCCACTGATAGCCTCTCATGTATGAAGATAGGTGGTTCGACACATGTATGAAGATAGGTGGTTCGAGAGGCTTTGCTGCTCATGGTTTGTACATGTTTCTTTTCTACCCCACCATTTCCTCTAGTAAAACAGGCCTGGCAGGTTTTTCAAACAATAGAAAAACATACAAAACCTGTTTGACCAGAAGTAAAAAGAAAGTTAATTTATCATGAACAGTGAGTCTTCAGACAGTCTTAATTTTTTCAGCCTATAAAGTGAGAACAATGTCACAGGTATCTTGCCATCCTACTAAAGTGTGGATCTCTGTGTATGGAAACATGTACAATGTGAGAAGCAGCCCTAAGAGGCTGGAGGCTTTCCAAGAAGAAAGCTGGACACTAATTTGACAGAGCTGCCTTAAGCATTGGGTGCCTTGTTTTTAGGTGGGAGACTAGGCTAGGTGATCTTCTCTGAACTACAATGTATGGGCACACAAAAGTCAGGTTGGTACTTCTGCCCCAACCAAGATGCATAAAGGGAAGAACTCTAGAAGAACTCTAGAAGAACCCTAGAAGAGCTCAATCTGCTGTAGCAATTTTCCACACCTTTCCAGGCATACTCATTTCACAATCTGAGAGCCACTGCAAAATAACAAGCCTGCTGAATTTTCAGCATCACTGCTTCCTTAACTAGGAAGTGCTAAATAGTTATAATTGCAGGTCCAGCCTGTTGTATTTTGGGATGATTACCCAGTTTACAGCTATTGTATATTCTACTGCCATATGTCGTGAGTTATTTTGCTTAGCTAAAACAAAACAAACAATTCCCCTTAATTTCTGTTCATTCAAAGTCTGAATTTTTTAAGTGAGGAAGAGAAGGTGGAAAGAGTTTCTTGTAGAATACATCTGTAGTTGATTTTGAGAAACTTTTCTTTTGCATGACCTAGAAATGAGCTAAATAAATGCAACTAATTTCATTAGGATGAAGGGCTGGCTTAGAGATTACATTTCACCTCTTTCCTTCCAGGTTTACTAAACTGGGAGAGAACAAGCTTCCCTGCTGGATTTGCAATGTGCCTTTGCAGAGAGAGTGCTCAAGATCATGTGATCCTGTCACAGTCAAATATAGTTGTCCCCAGGGGTCTTTTGGGGCTGGAGTGCGCTGGAGCACCGCTCCAGGAGCCCAAGAGCTGGTAAAACGGCGGCGGCAGCAAGCCCCGCCCCCAGCTCCCCATGCTACGGCCTGTTGCTGCTTTACTGGGGCCCGCGCTGGAGCACTGCGGCCCCAGGGAGGCTCAAGGAGGCCCGTCACTACGTTCCCGGGGCCCGTGCCGGAGCGTGTGGCCCCAAGGAGGCCCGAGGAGGCCCGTCGCCACCTTCCCGGGGCCCACGTCGGAACGCTGCGGCCCCAGGGAGGCCCGAGGAGGCCCATCGCTGTCTTTCCGGGGCCCGCGCCAGAGCACTGCGGCCCCAGGGGTCCCCGAGGAGGCCCGTTGCCGCTTTTCCGAGGCCCGCGCCAGAGTGCTGTGGCCCCAGGGGGGCCTGAGGAGGCCCGTTGCCGCGTTCCCGGGGCCCGCGCCGGAGCGCTGTGGCCCCGGGGAGGACGGAGAAGGCCCGTCGCTGCCTCCCTGGGCCAGCGCCGGTGTGCTGCGGTCTGGGGGAGACCAGAAGACGCCCCCCGTCGCCTCCCCGGGCCAGCGCCGGAGTGGGGTAAGTGAGGGATCCGCGGGGTGGTGGTGGTAGAGGCTTGGTTGGGGGAGTGGGGGGTGGGAGAGCCTCCCCTCCCCCCAACTCTTTGCCCTCTTTCTTTCCCTCCTTTTCTTTCTC